CGTGTAGTGTTACCATAGAGTTCCAGATAATTTTTGTCATTAAACAATATATCACATGACTAACCACGGGTCCGGGTAGTCCTGTGGGTACCCGGGTCCTACTCAGTACCCATCCGACCCGGGTACCCGAGTAATCCGTCCCAGCCCTACAGCCTTAATTACCTTACATTGTGGCCATTGAGAAACTACTGTCTCCAAGAGCAGTGGAATTAGAGGCATAGCGAGACCGACAGTCTCTTCCAAATTGGCTCTCTTCCAAACCTACGCTAAGGGTCCTGTTGCATTAAACAACCTTAACACAACACCTATTGTAAGCCAATGTTCGAGTAAGGGAGTTGCCATAATCTTAGTGCTAAAACCCAAAAGCAATTTGTGGACTAACTTGTGATGAGAAAATTTATATCTTTTATGTTCAGATATAAATTCTTGTAGCCTAACAAGGATATGTTTTGAACTGGTGATTTTTTTTTATATTCCTCATCATGCTGTCACTGTTTGGGCCAGAAACATCCCTATGTTTTGTTGTTCAGAATGGAATAATAAGGCTCCTGTGTTTAACCCTAAGTCCTCTGTGTTTACAAATATTGTCCTGAAGAATGCTGGATCCACCCTTGTGTACTGTCGTGTTCAGTCATGTTAACCCTTTTATCCTTGACTTGGTAGCCCTGTGGTGGAAGTGTTTGCTTCTCATGCCAAATGACCCGAGTTCTATTCCCCACATGGGTAACATGTTTTCAGGCCCTCCTGGGGATGGATCTCTGTTATGATACTGCTGGAGTACTGCTATAAGAGGCGTATAGCCCTGCTTGCTCACTCACTCACTCACATACTCACTCACATACTCACTCACTCACTCACTCACTCACTCACTCACTCACTCACTCACTCACTCACTCACCCACTCACCCACCCACCCACCCACCCACTCTCTCACTCACTCACTCACCGGAAGTTATACAGACCAAAGATATTTTTAAGTTCAAGTGAAATTCAACATAAAAATTGCTTCTTTTACATATTCTATAAAAAATTTAGTTTTGACTATATTTACCTGTACAGAATGTTGATAAAACTTAAGATATAAAATTCAAATTTAAAGTTGATTTTAGTAAGGTTTTTCTTATGCTGAATTTGCAGTCAAAGGTATGTTCTGAAGTACGTATATATTGGTGGCTTAGACTTTGGAATGATGATATGAGGGGGTATCAAAAAGTTTTGAGCCCAGCTTAATAATTTTCAACATTGGTCCCTTTCAGTTCAATACTCTTGTTCCATGTCATCTTCAGGACCCATTTTCACAAAGCGATCTTAGCGATAAGACTATTGTTAGCCTATGTTAAAGTATGGGAGTTACAATCATCTTAGCGCTAAGATCGCTTTGTGCAAGTGGGCCCTGGTGACCTTCAGGGTACAAAATGTGACCACTCAAGTTTTGTCCATTTTGATGCAAAGGAGTAGGGTACCTCCGAGGGCAACAGGTTACTGGACTGAAGTCTGCCAAATTGTGTAAGATGACTACAAACACAGGTCAATATATACCGTATATGTCCGCAGATAAGCCGAATTTTGAGGACCAGAAAAAAGATTCTGTAGAAAGGGGTCGGCTTATCCCCGGTATAAGGCGCTGCGATTCGCTGTGCAGAGTTATGTCCCTTGGGCACGCCAGAAACCTATGATTGTGGGTTCGAATCCCGGTTCGCCCTGATTATGTTTCTAGGTTTGTCAGCACCATACCCATGCTCATGGGTTTCACCGAAGTGGGAAACGTCTGACACCTGCATCAGTTCGGGCTTTCCTCCCACATTAAGCTGACACGCTGTGATATAACTGGAATAATGTTAAAAGCTGCGTTAAACCCAACTCACTCACTATCCACGGTATTTGACATGTTAGAATACCAACAACCTAGATATGCATGGCTCCAAGCCTTCTGATATGCTCTTGTAGAGACTGAAATTATTACATGGTGACACGAAGTGAGTAACAAAATATTGGGAAATGACTTCTAGTTATTAGCGAAAATTTGTGTTTTTTTTTACGTTAAGGTAAAAAAATGAAGTCAGATCTTGTCCTTCATGAATCAGCATGAAGTCATCTTCCCGAACAAGAGCATTAACTGACTACACAAGTCCAGTTCCCACGCTTGCCGAACTAGGCTGGAATTTCCCAGGTCGATTGTTGCGCCACCAGTGGCTATTACGAGTTATGTCCCTTCTATGACCTCCTATTGACAAATCAGATGCCATCATTCATATCACTTGTATTTGCCTGAAGCAAAATGGCGGCGCCCAGTCAAAACGATATGATCAATAATCAAGATCTATTTTGTAATAAAATGGGTCTTACACTGTGAAGTGCATCAAATCACTTGAGCACCTTGATTGAAAACATGAAAAGATTTGCAAAATATCTGTAGGCGCCCAATTGGCGGTACTCAAGCTTTGCAAATCTTTCAGTTGACCGAAATTTGCACGTTGAAATCCATGTAGTTTGTTTCGCGATTTTGATTGGACTATGCATAGACTCATTAGTCCAGCCAAAATGCAATTCCGGAATACCAGCCTTGTTCAGCAAGGGTGGGAACTGGACTTTTATAGTGAGTTAATGCCCTTGCCTCAGGAAGATGGTATGAAGCTTACCTTTGCTATGCATGTTTTTTCGTGTGCACTAACATGCTGCAGTGTGAATTTAAGATTGTGTTTTTTGTCATAAAGGTTACATATGCCGGGCATTATAAGTTTTATTCTTGAAGTTAGGGAATTTTACAATATATTTTTGAAAACTGAGAAATGTTTTGTGTGTGTTGAAATTGTGCAGGTGCAACAGGTTAGTGTTTGGGCATTCTCAGAGGCCCATATTTACAGAAAGTGATTTGTAATATATGGTTTGAGTTAATATTTGAGCTTTGCATATATGACTTGTATTTAAATGATAACAAGGGGCCACAGGTGGCCCAGTCATCTAAGGCGCCGTGATTCGCTGTGCAGAGTTGCGTCCTTGGGCACGCCAGAAACCTATGATTGTGGGTTCGAATCCCAGTTCGCCCCGATTATGTTTCTAGGTTTGTCAGCACCATACCCGTGCTCATGGGTTTCACCGAAGTGGTAAACGTCGGAGACCTGCATCACTTTGGGCTTTCCTCCCACATTAAGCTGACACGCCGCAATATAACTGGAATACTGTTAAAAGCGGTGTTAAACCCAACTCACTCACTCACTAACTGATAACAATAAAAAGCAGGTTAAAATACCTCAGCATTTAAGAAAACAAGTTTGAATAAAATTTATCTCGGCCTGGCAGGGCACTTTCAGAAGAGTCCCTGGTTCACAGAACTCTATTGGTAACATTTCAGCAGAATTAAAAAGACTTCCTCGTGACAGGCTTGGAATGATAGTAATGTTCACTTACTTGTGTAGTTGGATTGATGATGAATTTGACTATAGTTCCAACACTGAGATGTGTTTTGTTCTGTTTTTGGTGAGGTGTTGGTTTCTGATATCTCGATCAGAAGACATCCCACAATCCTCACATGTGATACGAATTGCCATACATTATTTCCTGTGGCGTCCAGTTGCTGCCAAAAACTTTTGCTACTGCCACCCCGACATGGCTGTTCACATCGTTTTATTAAATTATCGACATTATTCAGTGGGTTTTATGTTCTAGTTTTACTCTTTATCATTAGGCGAAGTGTGGCAGATAGAGTGTAACTATCACTGGGGTTTCTCAATGAATACTGTCAAATACTTTTTTTAAATTTGTACATTTGAACTGGTCCTAATTGTGATGATGACAGTGGTTGAAGCATCATAAAATATTCTGTTGTCAGCAGTGGTACCAGAGATATGGGTCAGTTTCCATAGACTTCATGTAGTTCTATGCCTCATCATTTGCCTAGGACAACACCTTTGAGTAAAGATGACTATTAACATCCTTAGAAAATGCTGAGTAGTGTATTTGTTAATATGCATATCAATCTGCTGAACGCATACCTACACTAGGAGTTCTTTTAGCTCTATCCGGGGTGGAATAGGTCTTCAGCAACCCATGCTTGCCGTAACAGGCAACTATGCTTGTCGTAGAAGACGACTAACGGGATCGGGTGGTCAGGCTCGCTGACTGGTTGATATATGTCATCGTATACCAATTGCGTGGATTGATGTTCATGATGTGAATCACTGGATTGTCTGACCCAGACTGGATTATTTACAGACAGCCATCATATAGCTGGAATATTCCTCAGTGCAGCGTAAAACAATAAACCAAACCAAACCAAACCAAACCTTAAGCTCTGTAAAAATTTGCATCCCTTTCGAGTGTAGCTTACAATTAAAGGGACATAACTCTTACTGGGTTAGTTTGTTTCTCATCCAGCTGCTGCTTCACCCTATCAGACTTCGCTTTGGTCTATGGACTGTATTTGAGTGTATAAACGAGACTGACAATACCACACGTTTGACTCATCGTACAGTGTCTCTCATGCATACTGTAGTCATGCTTGTCACATCATCTGAGTTGGGTGCTTACAGAGATGGGTTTCCAGAAAATATATTTTATATGATGCATTTTTTAATCATTTTTATACTATTGGAGTTCACGATTTGTAATCACATGGTTACAATTGTTCAGTGATTTATTGATAATTGACATGCCGTAATCACTATATGCCAAGTCAGGGTATATTTCTAGGTATGTCTGCACCATATCTATGCTTGTGGTTTCACGAAAGTGGTAAATGCTTGAGACGTGCATCTCTGTCCCATGTCCTGAAACGTGTGATTTATTGAGTGTAATTATCTTAATTTTGCTCCTAACTTGTATATTGGAACCATGACGCATTTTCCTCTTGGCGTCTATATCTAAATGTGTTGGCCAAACGGTTTAATGCATAATGGGAGGATATTTTAATCTTCTTTATATCTAAGCTTGGTCTGACTCTTGTGAGCTGCATTTGTAACAAGCCATTGAATTTGATGCAGAGCTCCCCAGTACCACGTTTGTCATGACTATTGTGGAGATCAGGTGGCCACAATGGCAACCCATTATGAACAGTACTGAGCTGGTCGTGCCGTGGATCACTGGTTGGTCACTGGTTCATCACTTTGCAGGATGTCCTGACAGAGCTCCATCCCGGTGGAAGATGTGTGTCATAGAGACAGTCCTGAGCTGGTCGCGCCGTGGATCACTGGTTGGTCACCGGTTCATGATTTTGCAGGATGTCCTGACAGCTACATCCCTGTGGAAGATGTGTGTCATAGGGACAGTCCTGAGCTGGTCGCGCCGTGGATCACTGGTTGGTCACCGGTTCATGATTTTGCAGGATGTCCTGACAGAGCTACATCCCAGTGGAAGATGTGTCATAGGGACAGTCCTGAGCTGGTCGCGCCGTGGATTACTGGTTGGTCACCGGTTCATGATTTTGCAGGATGTCCTGACAGAGCTACATCCCAGTGGAAGATGTGTCATAGGGACAGTCCTGAGCTGGTCGCGCCGTGGATTACTGGTTGGTCACCGGTTCATGATTTTGCAGGATGTCCTGACAGAGCTACATCCCAGTGGAAGATGTGTCATAGGGACAGTCCTGAGCTGCTCGTGCCTAGGATCACTGGTTGGTCACCGGTTCATGATTTTGCAGGATGTCCTGACAGAGCTACATCCCTGTGGAAGATGTGTCATAGGGACAGTCCTGAGCTGGTCGCTCTGTGGATCACTGGTTGGTCACCAGTTCATGATTTTGCAGGATGTCCTGACAGAGCTCTACATCCCTGTGGTAGATGTGTGTCATAGGGACAGTACTGAGCTGCTCGTGCCGTGGATCACTGGTTGGTCACCGGTTCATGACTTTGCAGGATGTCCTGACAGAGCTACATCCCTGTGGATATGTGAGATGTGTGTCATAATTGCCAGATGAGGATTGGGTGGGGATGCTCTGATGGTTCACATCTTCGCATGTGCTTTCAATCACTGGTTTTGCATGGACCAGCTCCTATAGCTGGAGTATTGCTGACTTAGGTGTTGAACAAGATTCATTCACTGATGTAGCCATAGGTAATAAAGCTGTTAATTTCAGGCAACCGTAACAACTGGCCATTGGTAGGAGGCATCATATCCACTCTGAGACTGACCACATCACAGTGATACAGTTTAAGGATGTGACACGTGATGCATGTTATCCTGCTTTTGCCTGTCAGCATCTCACCCCAGGATGTTTCATACTGCAGCCTGCTCTCATTCCTTCATGAAAAGAACATGCAAAGTTTATGAATAGACCATGCTGTTTAGAAAGTGGTCAGATGTAACATATATTTGGGATTACATATTCATAGTAAAGTACAAATTCTAGTACTTTTTTGGTGGAGTCTCAACCAGGATCCGAACCCACACTTCTCAGAGTAAGGCAACTAATTGCTGGCACACAAAGTCCGCAAACCTCACCCACTCCTAAGTGTTGGTTTGAATCCTGGAAAAAAAGAAAAATACTATTATTATAAAGAAAGTGTAATCCCAAATTTACCTTGTTGAAATATTTAGCTGTCAAGCTTCCAATATTGCGATTTCATAATAATGATATGCTTGGTACACCCAACACTGGTTCATGGCCCACATGGCTTTTATGGTACCATTATACCTTGTCTTCATGTCTTATGGTAGGTCAGTATTATTATTGCTGTTGGCTATATTGTCCAATTTGTCTTATTTGGATAACTCTTGTTACGCTTGATTTTATTTCCCCTCTTGTACTCTGCAGTTAAACATCCAATGTTAACTGGGAGTAAGTACCTGGTGCTCTGAATCTGACCTGATTGGGGTTGGAATACGATCACCTGTCTTTCAGTTAATGTAGGGAGATTTTTTCATTGAAAAGCATATCCTATTATTCTGTATGATTCAGTATTGCAATGCTAGCACCCTCTTGCTCAATCCAATTAATGCAACAAATAACCAATCCTTGTAACCCATGGAGCTATCTATGTTTATTTTTGCATCAGACGTCAATAGTATTGTAGTGTTTGGCCTAGAATAGTTCAGGCTGACCTGCCTAAAATAAGCTGTGAGACAGTGTATTCCATCATTCTCAGCAGATATCATTGCCACCTGCAACTAATACTGTGATGCTTGTCGTCATTCCCGAAGGTTCTTTAATGTTCCTGCTGCTTGTCTGGATGTGCACATGTTGCTGCTGCTTGTCTGGATGTGTACATGTTGCTGCTGTGTGTCTGGATGTGTACATGTTGCTGCTGTGTGTCTGGATGTGTACACGTTCTTGCTGCTTGTCTGGATGTACATGTTCCTGTTCAGGATGTGTACATGTTCCTGTTGTGAATGTGTACATGTTCCTGCTGCTTGTCTGGATGTGTACATGTTCCTGTTCTGGATGTGTACATGTTCCTGCTGCTTGTCTGGATGTACATGTTCCTGCTGCTTGTCTGGATGTGTACATCTTCCTGCTGCTGGGGCGGTCGGGTAGCCTAGTGGTTAAAGCGTTAGCTCGTCACGCCGAAGACCCGGGTTCGATTCCCGACATGGGTACAATGTGTGAAGCCCATTTCTCGTGTCCCCCGCCGTGATATTGCTGGAATATTGCTAAAAGCGGCGTAAAACCTCACTCACTCACTTCCTGCTGCTTGTCTGGATGTGTACATGTTCCTGCTGCTTGTCTGGATGTACATGTTCCTATTCTGGATGTGTACATGTTCCTGCTGCGTGTCTGGATGTACATGTTCCTATTCTGGATGTGTACATGTTCCTGCTGCTTGTCTGGATGTGTACATGTTCCTGCTGCTTGTCTGGATGTGTACATGTTCCTGTTCTGGATGTGTACATGTTCCTGCTGCTTGTCTGGATGTACACGTTCCTGCTGCTTGTCTGGATGTGTACATGTTCCTGCTGCTTGTCTGGATGTGTACATGTTCCTGCTGCTTGTCTGAATGTGTACATGTTCCTGCTGCTTGTCTGGATGTGTACATGTTCCTGCTGCTTGTCTGGATGTACACGTTCCTGCTGCTTGTCTGGATGTGTACATGTTCCTGCTGCTTGTCTGGATGTGTACATGTTCCTGCTGCTTGTCTGGATGTGTACATGTTCCTGTTCTGGATGTGTACATGTTCCTGCTGCTTGTCTGGATGTACATGTTCCTGCTGCTTGTCTGGATGTGTACATCTTCCTGCTGCTTGTCTGGATGTACATGTTCCTATTCTGGATGTGTACATGTTCCTGCTGCTTGTCTGGATGTACATGTTCCTATTCTGGATGTGTACATGTTCCTGCTGCTTGTCTGGATGTGTACATGTTCCTGCTGCTTGTCTGGATGTACATGTTCCTGCTGCTTGTCTGTATGTGTACATCTTCCTGCTGCTTGTCTGGATGTACATGTTCCTGCTGCTTGTCTGGATGTGTACATGTTCCTGCTGCTTGTCTGGATGTACATGTTCCTGCTGCTTGTCTGGATGTACATGTTCCTGCTGCTTGTCTGTATGTGTACATGTTCCTGCTGCTTGTCTGGATGTACATGTTCCTGCTGCTTGTCTGGATGTACATGTTCCTGCTGCTTGTCTGGATGTGTACATGTTCCTGCTGCTTGTCTGGATGTACATGTTCCTGCTGCTTGTCTGGATGTACATGTTCCTGCTGCTTGTCTGGATGTGTACATGTTCCTGCTGCTTGTCTGGATGTGTACATGTTCCTGCTGCTTGTCTGGATGTACATGTTCCTGCTGCTTGTCTGTATGTGTACATCTTCCTGCTGCTTGTCTGGATGTACATGTTCCTGCTGCTTGTCTGGATGTGTACATGTTCCTGCTGCTTGTCTGGATGTACATGTTCCTGCTGCTTGTCTGTATGTGTACATGTTCCTGCTGCTTGTCTGGATGTACATGTTCCTGCTGCTTGTCTGGATGTACATGTTCCTGCTGCATGTCTGGATGTACATGTTCCTGCTGCTTGTCTGGATGTACATGTTCCTGCTGCTTGTCTGGATGTACATGTTCCTGCTGCTTGTCTGGATGTGTACATGTTCCTGCTGCTTGTCTGGATGTACATGTTCCTGCTGCTTGTCTGTATGTGTACATGTTCCTGCTGCTTGTCTGGATGTACATGTTCCTGCTGCTTGTCTGGATGTGTACATGTTCCTGCTGCTTGTCTGGATGTACATGTTCCTGCTGCTTGTCTGTATGTGTACATGTTCCTGCTGCTTGTCTGGATGAATACATGTTCCTGCTGCTTGTCTGGATGTACATGTTCCTGCTGCTTGTCTGTATGTGTACATGTTCCTGCTGCTTGTCTGGATGTACATGTTCCTGCTGCTTGTCTGGATGTGTACATGTTCCTGCTGCTTGTCTGGATGTACATGTTCCTGCTGCTTGTCTGTATGTGTACATGTTCCTGCTGCTTGTCTGGATGTGTACATGTTCCTGTTCTGGATGTGTACATGTTCCTGCTGCTTGTCTGGATGTGTACATGTTCCTGCTGCTTGTCTGGATGTACATGTTCCTGCTGCTTGTCTGGATGTGTACATGTTCCTGCTGCTTGTCTGGATGAATACATGTTCCTGCTGCTTGTCTGGATGTACATGTTCCTGCTGCTTGTCTGGATGTACATGTTCCTGCTGCTTGTCTGGATGTGTACATGTTCCTGCTGCTTGTCTGGATGTACATGTTCCTGCTGCTTGTCTGGATGTACATGTTCCTGCTGCTTGTCTGGATGTGTACATGTTCCTGCTGTGTGTCTGGATGTGTACATGTTCCTGCTGCTTGTCTGGATGTGTACATGTTCCTGCTGCTTGTCTGGATGTCTAAATCTTCCTGCCATATGTCTGGACACATACATGTTTAGCCACTGCCATGTACCAAATTCCTGCCTATGATTGTACCCGCGGACGTTAAATGAAGAAAACTTAGTGCATTTAATACAAATTAGTGTTCACCTTTCATAGACGATACGCAGGTAAATTAAGCTTGATGCATCTTTTATATATCTATGAAGAGCCAATTTACTCGAAATATTATTAATGAGTGTAAAGCTATTTCCTTGTCGTACCTCTTTCATTAGCAGTCTTTGCCAAAAGCATTTGAGTCTACTAACCTAAACCGTCACTTGTTATCATTTTCGGTAGATCTTAGTATTAATGTATTGACATTTATTAGCAGAGATTACTTGCCCGAAAAAGATTTAACCAGACGGACAAGTGGTGAAAGTCTCAGACTGCATTATGTAAATATAATAATAGTAGTAAACTAGAAAACACCAATCTACACAACTCTCTGCATTATATTTTTACGAAAGTTAAACTGGTTATGGGATTATATAAGTAACACTGATTTTCTTTCTCACATTTACTTCATAAATAAATAACATGTTAAATAATTAACATCTCTTTGCGTGGAAGAAATGTTCGTCAATGTCATAATTGTTGAATCACATGTTGTGAAGAACCATTTGCTTTTGGAAGCAAATTCTGTTATTTTCTGACAAAATAATATATAATTTTATTATGGACTTGTTAATGAATGCTGTATCAAGTACAAAAGACTATTTTGTTGACTGCATGTACTATACAGTCAGTGTTTCAAATTATATTGTGGTAAAAGTCCAGGAACTGGTTCTGTTGGCTTTGACTGTTTCTTCAATAAAACATGCTTTAATTTTCGACATTTGTTTTCCTCAATTATATGATGGAACATTGAAGCTGGTTATTTGTGAGGTTTCTTGATGTCACCTTGTTTCAAACAAGGACAGTAGGCACGCAATTTTGTGCAGTTGCCTATGATGATGGGTTCGAATTCGCAAGATGATGTTTCTAGGTTTGTCAGCAGCATATTATATCGGTGCTCGTGAGGTTCACCAACCTGGTGACCATCTGAGACCTGGGGTGCGTTGCAAAGCGCCAATCGCTTGCAAGCGATGTACAGCGATTCCCCTTACAACAGTGCGCTAACTTTCAGCCGCTTGCAAGCGAAACAATCGCTGGCTGATGTCGCTTCGTTCTCAAACCAAAATGGCGGCTTACTTTGACAGGGGAACAAGAAATTCTTGACTGAATCAACGAGGAAATGAGCAAAGGCAGCCAACACCCCATCATCCTCAGTCTGCTCCACATCTTCAAAGTAGTCATAAATTCCATCAGCTCGTAATCGAGCCTCTTCTATTACGTTCTTCATTACGTCAAGGCAACCAAGCGCTAGTTGCGCCGCCATTTTGGAAGAGTGCGCAAGCGCTTCGAACTGTTGCAGACACCGGGATGAGCGATTAATTTGCTTTCTCTAAGCGGTTCGTGGCTTGCAACGCGCCCCTGCAGAACATTGGGGTTTTATCCCACATTACTTGTAGCTTTATGGCTGGAATAATGCCAGTCGTCCAAGGCGCAGCGATTCACTGTGCAGAGTTGCGTCCCGTGGGCACGCCAGAATACTATGATTGTGGGTTCGAATCCCCGTTCGCCCCGATTATGTTTCTAGGTTTGTCTGCACCACAACCGTGCTCGTGGGTTTCACCGAAGTGGTAAACGTCTGAGACCTGCATCACTTCGGGCTTTCCTCCCACATTAAGCTGACATGCCGCGATATAACTGGAATAATGTTAAAAGCGGCGTTAAATCCAACTCACTCACTCACTCACCCCCACATCAAGCTGACACGCCCTGATATAACTGGAATCAAGTGTACGTTCACTCACTCACTCAAACAAGGACACAATGACACAGAAACAGTTTTGGTAGTTTGTGGAAATTGGTAACGTCAGCACCTGTCATTTGAACGTCTCTAAACGAGTCAAAACGCAATGACAAGTACCCACCCATCAACTTGTACCCACCAAACTTTGGAAATTCGAGTAATGACATCATCTGTTCTGAGAAAAAGTTAGAATGTCCTGCCCTGCCTGTAGCAAAGTCAGGATAATAGTTCTTTCACAAGTAATGTGATGATGACCGCAGTTCAAAATTGTGGCACGTAATAAGGTCAATTTGGCAAATTTGGGTCTTTAATTCCATGATAAAAAGTTGTTCAAATTGTTGATGTGGCAGTAGATGTATAGGCTTATGCCATTATAAATACGTTCTTTGCCGAAAACAAAATAGGTTAAGACGCCCCCGAAAACAAAATAGGTTAAGACACCCCCCTCCTTCCCCCTAATTACAAATAAGTCCAAGGCGTCTCAAGGAGGATTTGAACATTTTTCATGAGTTGCATAATGTTAATCCTTGAAGAAATGGAGAGAGGAAGGGAACCGCTGGAGTGTGTGTTCTAGATCTTCTGCAAACATCTATCTAAGGAGGAGTTTAATAGCCTTTCCCAGTCTTGGGGTACTTCACCGAAAGCAAACGTCTGAGACCCGCAACTCACTCACTCACTCACTCCTACGTTCCTGGGCTCTCGCTCGGGAAATACAAGAGTTCTGACAGTCATACTCGTATTAATATCTCTTTTTTACTCCATTAGCAGTACATATTCTCACGATCGAACCAGACTGAGAACGACATGCTATTAGTACTGACTTCACTGCATCATTTAACTCCCGGACGTCTGATGAAACCTCCCGGACGTTGCCGGGCGTTCTCGGAAGTTCCCGGACGTGGGGGTGGGGGGGGGGGTGGGGGGTGGGGGGGGGGGGGGGGGGGGGGGGATCTCGTTGCTGTCTCACTGCCCCTGGACAAAATAGGAACATGCGTATCTCGCTGGATGTCGTCCCACCGACGTGCGTCCGGGCCTGACGGGAGGGGTGGGAACTCGAGGTTTGAAACATGCGTCAGAGACCCATCCTGACCACACGTCCCCTTTAGCCTTAATACGCTCGTGAAGATCCGGGGTAGATAGGTCTTCAGCAACCCATGCTTGCCGTAAAAGGCGACTATGCTTGCAGTAAGAGGCGACTAACGGGATCGGGTGGTAAGGCTCACTGACTTGATTGATACATGTCATCTTATCTCAATTGCGTAGATCGATGCTCATGATATCAATCACTGGTGTGTTTACACTGATTATTTACAGACCGCCTTCATATAGCTGGAATATAGCTGAGTGCGGCGTTAAACAACAAACAAACAACCCAAGCAAAGACATCAGACATCAGGGCGCGAATCTTTTCCTGCCCCACTCGGAAAGACAGATCAGCACGTCCCATGGCCAACTGCACCAAGTGTGTGAACAGCCCTTCCCGCCGAGGCCGACGAAGAGGCGCCCACAGTGGAGGTCCCCGTCGTACATGCCGTCTCAAGTTCAGTAAATTTCTCCAAATCCTATCAACCTTGTATTTTACACAACACCAATCATGACCAGCTGATTCATTCTGCGTAAAACATCACTCACTCGCTCAGATGGTGTTTATAGGAATTTATAACATTTAGACCAGTTTAGTGTTTTTTCCGATAGACAGCGTTGGAAATTGTTGAAATATTTTGTTAGTCAACATTATTAAACCCTTTTCATAACACCAAGAAGATATTTATGAGGAAGTGGATGAAAATAATAAAACGTTTACCCTTTTGCACAGTTTGACCTAAGGGGTTGTAATAAATCAAATAAAAGTCAAAGTTCTTCGTCGTGAGCAATTACCAAATACGTAATTTAATCAACGCCGAACTAAATCAATTCCTGGATGTGAGCATAACTCACAATAGAAACATTGTGGCACTGTGAGCATCAGAGCGCAATGGTAGAAACAGGAGCAGCAGTCGTTAATTCAGCGCAAAATAAATAATGATGGCAAATGCACATTAAAGCGTCATACCAACAGCGAAACGCTTAGCGCTAATTCCGCCATGACATGTTATAAGCAAGTTTGTCACTGCAAACTATTCGTTCTGTTCTTACGATAATAAAACGTCATGTAATATAAAACGCCAGAGAATAATGGCGTCATTTTTTTGTCATAATTTTCGTCATTCCGGAAAGTCACTCGGGAAAAGTCGCCTCGACTCCACACGCCATCTCGGCTATATTGGAACTACTTTCGTTCACGTGACTGTCACATGACAAACTTAGAAACATGATCGGGGCGAACCGGGATTCGAACCCATAGTCATAGGTTTCTTTCGTGCCAAAGGGACGCAACTCTGCACAGCGAATTGCAGCGCCTAAGACGACTGGGCCATCCGTGCCCCCACCTTGACTTACGATAGTCGTAATGCTAAGAGCGCTTTGTGCAAGTGGGCCCAGCAAGCTATGCTTCTATAAAGAGTTGACTTGGTGGATAAGTGCTATCGCATCCGGGCTGCGCGGTGCAATGTTCATGATATCAACCCTTGGGTTGTCAGGTCCAGGCTCGATTATTTACAGAACATCGTTGGTATCTACACCGGAGGTGATGAGGTGAAATGGGGTTCAACGCCGCGTCCAAGATTATTGCACTTATATGGCGACGTGCATGCAAGTGTGTATGTGGCTGCTTGTACTAGTCCGGACTGATGCCGATTTATAGTGCTAGCACACTGAGATACCATGCCGCAGTTTAACATGAATACCCCACTCAGACACAGTATACTGACTCCGAGCCGACCAGCCCTTGTTAAAGCCCCATAATGCCGAGCGCCAGACAGGGTAACAACAAGTACCATCTTTAAACGTCTTTTGGTATGACGCGGCCGGGGATCGAACCCCGGACCTACCGCTCTGCGGGCGGACGCTCAACCACTAGACCACGGAGGCGGTCTGTATCTACACCGAAACTACAATTCATTGTAACAAATATATTCATAGAACTGTCCATTTGTTCATCATGCCAACTTGTAAATTCCACTTTAAAAGGTTTGCAAAATACTTTAATTGTCAATGATAATATCACGTGACGTTACGTACGTGTCACGGTCAGGTTATGTAGCTACGAATCATTATTACCTTTTCGAGACCTGTGAACATCCGGGGTAGAATAGGTCTTCAGCAACCCTAAAAAGCGACTATGCTTGTAGTAAGAGGCGACTAACGGGATCGGGTGGTCAGACTCGCTGACTTGGTTGATGCAAGTCATCGTATCCCAGTTGCGTAGATTGATGCTCATGGTGTCAATTCCTGGATTGTCTGGTCCAGACTCGATTATTTGCAGACCGCCGCCACGTAGCTGGAATTTTGCTGAGTGCGGCGTTAAACAAAAAACAGAATAATGTATTTTATGAAACGATATATCAATACTTAAACTTCCAATGTTGTTGGGCCTGTTATAAGCTTGAGGTATTGTGAGGTCTCTATGTCCTACATGTTTCAACATGCTTAATTAATTTGTTTGTACAATGAAGTAATTAGTCCATTTGTTATCTGATGATGGTGTAGGCCATGGTTTATGAACTTTATTTATTTTATGACAACAAACAAGATGAACAATATTCAAGTTAAAAATCATTTTGTCTTTTAGTTTGTCTTAGTTTTTGTGCATTTGCTCAAATGAGGGTAGGGTTTGTTTGAAGATCATAACACTTGGTGTCGAAAAACTGAGTATGCTTGTCTACACCCGATCTTACAACCACAAGTAATGAACAAGTTCTTCTAACCCCCGCCATATTCCTGCTTTGTGTCTACGATTTAATGCTCCGGGCAGCGCCTTCTTCACGTCATTAACAAGGTATGATAAACAATGTAAGGAAACTGGCACCAACGCTGCCTGGCAGCAACGAGATAGGTTATTATCACTGGGGTAATTGAGAGTTTTATATACCAGTTA